CGGTAAGTTCAACGATTACATATACTCGAAATCCCTGAGATCGGGTAGGCGTGGCTGCGTACTTGATTTTAAAATGGCGGCGGCCCAGGTTTTCGTGAGATATTGTCATTTGGAGCAGTCGTAATCATGTCTACATCTAACACAGAACAAGATAGCAGTTGTTTCAAATTGAAGTATCCCACGAGAAACCCGTCCTATGCCATGCTCAAAGCCACGCCTATTCCGTCTCAGGGATAAGCAGTTTAGTTAAAGGCCGACGGTACCTGATTAAAGAATCGAGGATGTCCCGTACGAACGCCAAGTCTCAACACTTCCTCGCAGCTCTGAAAAACGTTTCTGTCGCAAAAATCCAATGTGTCCTATACAGCAAGTGTCATGTTCTTGGCCTCAATTACCACTTCTTGACTACCTTTCCTTTTCTGCTTATCCCTCAGTGAACTTTCCTTTTTTGTTTACCTTTCCATAAATAGACTATTGAAGCGCTTCTTGACCATTTTAGATATCGATACTACCGAGCCGACCATTAAAGTCTTAAAAATGATCCCGGCGCTTTAAGTCGAAGCTTAGAAAACGAATGCTTTCGCGGTGATCCATAGTGGTATTAAAAGGGTGAACTCGGCTGCAGGACGGCCAACAGCACGAAATCGACGACAGAGCTATGGTAGCAATAAGAAAGAACAATGGGTCATAAAAGCTATCGGCTCAGTTCGGCTTGGTAGTACTAAATGATTCTCAGCGAAGCTTCTACAGCCCACCTTGGGCTGACCTGCAAGTATCCGTATTGATCCGTAGTATCCACTTGTCCCATATCTTATCATCCGAACAAAAAAAAGTCCGAAAAGTGATAGGAAGTTAGGAATACACAGGAAAATGGGTTGAGGAACGAGAAGTCGTACCAGTGGAGTGACATTGTGAGGAGAGAACTCGTATTTTGCAAAATCTCCCACTGGCACGACGTGCCCTGTACCCTGGAGTAGAGCTGACTGGTCTTTCTTGAATGCACCGCGCATTGAATCCTTCCCCCAATTTCTCGGTGTAGAAGGGTGAAGGGTGACTGAAAAGAAAATAATCCAATTGCTTGATATTTCCCAGAATAATATTCAAAGCATGGCCCATAATCTCCCCCATACGTACATCCCCATTTGCTGCAGCAATTTGCTACATGTATTTGTCTCTTTGCTACTTGTCCCATATGAGAGAAGACGGCCGCGGACATGTAGCGCTTAAGTGGCCGACAAAATGAGGACGAAAACGATAAGAGGCCCATTCAGCGGCTTGAAATCTCACGCAATACCAGTGAATGTGTCGCTGTTTTTATAATTAGAAATTTTCATTTGTCCCCCCAATATACTCAGAAGTTTGTCAGAACTCTCAATTTCGGAAAAGTGACCCAGAAGCTGCACAGGTCGATTACCCAACCAGGAGCCTTAACACTTCACATGGGCGTAAAATGCTCGGCGCATTCCATTGGAGCATTTATCGACGCCAATAATTTGAACGTACATCTTCAGAATTTTTCAAAGGGAGCTAGTCAATTTTTATAAAAAAATAACAGTAACATCAGGCTCAGCTGAACGAAATTCACTACATTTTCCGTGACATAGTTGGCGCACGAGGGGGCATTTTCCACTATTTGCTAGTTCCCATCGACGTGTCGACCTAGCTATAGAGCCCCTTCTCGAGTCGACAGGTTTTACCATGATGGTTTGACGAACTCGCTATAGCTTCACAAGAGTTCACATGTTTCACCGGAGTGAAACTTGTAAACCGGAACCAGTGAAGTAATGAAATATAAATGCCGCCCCTCGCGGGAATGCGCCGATTCCATCATTCATCACTAGCGAGCCTTAACAGCTCAACTTTACTCTGGCAACAATGACCATCCGAACCTGGGATGTTTCTCTTCAGTAAGACCTCCCGCGGAGTCTAGGCCAAGTGGCATACTTACCCACGCGCGCTCCTATGTAGTTTGGGAGTCAAATCCGGGATCGGGCCCAGCCTGGAGCCGACTGACGCGCTTTTTATCCCCTCCACTTCTACAGAATTCAGCGACCCATCTCGGCGCCTTCGACTTCGGAGGGGCATTCTGCACTTTAGACAGTTCCTCTTCTTAGTACATGCCAAGCAACAAGTCAGCAACAGCTAAGACTACTAAGCATTTGCGAATGCAAAATCATACACGTGAGTCCCCTTGATTACAAAACTGCAGCTTTTTACAAAGTGACCTGTATAGAATTCGCTGAGTACCGCACTCGTTTGCCCCCACCGAGCCAAACTTGCGTACTATCTACGAAGTATCTGTACATTGGCGGCCCCGTAAGCCCATTGTCTAGGGTGCCACATTTGAGAGGAATAAAACACACGGCAAAAGCTTTATCCCTTTTATGACCCCGCCATAAGCTCTCTTGTCTCCTACACGCACCTCGACGGTAAAACAGAAAATGGATTCCTGACGCCGCATTCGGCAACGGATACGTCCACAGCGGAGGAAAAAAGAAGCATTCTTGGCGACGGCTCTGTATTCCCATGCCAACTCTTCTCCTTTGTACACATGTCTCTGCCTCACTTTCGTCTCCACCCTCGCCCGCTAACTAGTCATGCCTCTTTTTGCTCTCAGATATGGACTGCACACTGTATGGAAATCGTTCTCTACCTTCACGAGGCATTCCAAATTCTCTGGTTGGTCGGGTATGTCAAGATCGATGAGTTGCAGCATTTCGGCAGGATGATGAAATTCGAGGATTTTATTGTCGCGATCATTTTCCTCACGAATATATTCTAGCAGAACCTAAAATCGATAAATTGATCGAAAGGAAATCAACCAATCACAGGGGCGCTAACAGTCAGTCTACTAAAAGTCTCCTCTCTCACCTGTACCACGCTCAGCAGAAATTTCTCAGTTCCTTTCCAATTCGCAGTGTGTGGCAGGATATCTAAAAGAGCACAGTTCAATCAGACTTTTCAATATTTTCGCGGAAAGAAAGCCTAAAAAGAGGGCAGGGTTGGAGCAGTGGCAAGTGGTGCTGCTGTGCCCGTGAGTCAGCTCTTTGACCGGAATTCGCCTAGATCAACTGAGACTTCATCCCTCAACTGAAGGGCTTCATCCTCCATCCCTCCCTCCCCCCGTGAGGCAGTACCAGTCCCCTTTGAGAGGGTGGAGATATAATGGCTCGAAAAGCGGCCGTATGGGACAAAATATAATTCCATACCAAAGAAGATGACTGCATGGCGTATCCCAAAAGGATTGGATTACCTCCAAAGGGATTCTACACCTTTTTCTCGAGATAGAGAGGTACCGCCCAGCATATTTCATTTCCTATTTGTACGGCGATGAACTCAGAAGCCAAATGTAGGGTGCTATTCGGCTTGGGAGGGGCAATTTCCACCTCCGCTAGTTTCTTTGTTATTTCATGTTGACCAACGGGTCTCACTTTGGTCAGACCTGTTAACTCGTGTGGAGCACCGAAATGGTACAAGTTAGCCAATTTGGTACAAGAATTTACAGCTCCTTATAAGGTCGCCTGTTCAGGCCTCTCTGAGCACTGTTCAAAGAATCCACCCCTAGGCCGAACTGCGCTAAGAAGTAGATTTTGAGCTGCGAGCTTCACGAAAAAGCCACGTTTTGGGTTATTTTGTGAATGCATTCCACAGGAAATTTTATGCCTAGAGACCGCTCGTCGACATTTTGCCTTTTGACTTCACCTGGCAACGTCTATAAAAATGAATGGGCTGGAAAACGGGGCTATAAGAAAAGTTTAGGGTCAAGAGCAAGGAAACCAGCCATAGACGGTTTTCCAGTAGTCTTCTGAACTCCAGTAGGAATTTTTTCCTAGCAAAAATTCAATAGTTGAAAACAAAGAAATAAATAAAAAGAAAGCTGAAAACGACTAGCGAACCCTTTGGCAATCAACTGGCTCAGATCATCGTTGTCGTTGGCCATGGCCGTGAAGTTGTGCGTGCCCTGAGGCATGAATCTAAATGTGGCTCATCATGAAGACGTGGCCCGAAATGGGCGGGTCTCACTACGATTACGGTAGCCCCTTGGAAATCCCCAGCTCTTCAATCGTAAGCACCCACGACGGCAATGGCCTCGATGAGTGATTGGGTGGATTTAGATGTCCATAAGCACACACACTCACATGGGCAACTCAAAAGATGAAACAATGACGTCAACGGCATATGACGTCATCGGTGAGTTTTAAGTGGGGACATTGCGAAAACGCTGGAGTACTGTTGTGATAAACAAGGATTTGAGAGACCCTTGAGGGCCAAACTCTCCAAGTATTTGTCCCGTCTTAATTTAGAGAATACTGTGTAAGAGCCAGAAAAAGGCCAAGTGGGACATATCTGAAGAGGTCCAGCATCAAGTTCTGGCAGAGGCAGAGTGTTTCGCTATAACTCAGGCACCTCCTGAAAAGTCCGGAGTGCGCCACGCGTCCGACTTATTTGAGCCATTAGGAGATTTCAATGCAGTTTTCGCTTGTACAGGAGGAAAGGTGGCAAAATAAAGGACACTTTGTGGCGCAAACCATCAAAGTTAATGTCGCACAGGTGAAGCATAGGTAAAATATTCCTTACATACTTCCCTACGAGCAGAACCGAACTTTCCACCGCAGTTCTACCAACTAGGGAGGTAAAGCCATCCAACATGGCAGTCAAGCTCATCTCACAGTATCCGTGTAACCCTTGATCGGCCGCCTAATTTCCAAGTTTGGATCCTGAGGACCGTAGCTCAGATTCTGAAAAATACTAGCCGCCACCTGTCCGGACATATGCTCGCTACGGTTCACGACTTGTTTTTCATGGTAGACCCCAAATGTCAAGCTTGCCAAGCGCTCCGAAATCCGACGCAGGTACCTTAACGGATTCTGAAGATACGTTCAATGGGACCAGGTGAGTGACTATCCGTAGTATCCATTACCCCTGTTATTCCGTGCGAAACAAGAGTTACCGATGCGCTTCTGAGCAAGCTATCGACGGGTGCCACATAGGAATAGCGCCTCGTGAACGGCATTGACGTATCATTACCTCTACCTCCTTTCCCATGGACTTTCAACCGGAGTACTGTAGCTGCGGACTCATCCACTCCGCATATGGAGAGGAACGTCATGG